CCTTTTGTCTTACGATTCGTACGAAGAGAAGAAGGAAGAAATAAGAATTAGAGAATAGATGGAAAAATTGGAATAGGAGAAAATAGAGAGAAAATAGGAGAAAATAGCGAGAAGTGGAAGTAGAGAGAGAGAGAGAGAGAGAGAGAGAGAGAGAGAGAGAGAGAGAGAGAGAGAGAGAGCGCGCGAGAGAGAGAGAGAGCGAGCTATAGATAGATATATAAAAAAAAAAAAATAAATAAAAAAAAAAAAGAAAAAAGGAAGAAAGAAAGGAGAAAGGGAAGAAGGGAGGAGGGGGAGAGAGAGAGAGAGAGAAAGAGAGAGAGAGAGAGAGAGCGCGCGAGAGAGAGAGAGAGCGAGCTATAGATAGATATATAAAAAAAAAAAAATAAATAAAAAAAAAAAAGAAAAAAGGAAGAAAGAAAGGAGAAAGGGAAGAAGGGAGGAGGGGGAGAGAGAGAGAGAGAGAAAGAGAGAGAGAGAGAGAGAGCGCGCGAGAGAGAGAGAGAGCGAGCTATAGATAGATATATAAAAAAAAAAAAATAAATAAAAAAAAAAAAGAAAAAAGGAAGAAAGAAAGGAGAAAGGGAAGAAGGGAGGAGGGGGAGAGAGAGAGAGAGAGAAAGAGAGAGAGAGAGAGAGAGCGCGCGAGAGAGAGAGAGAGCGAGCTATAGATAGATATATAAAAAAAAAAAAATAAATAAAAAAAAAAAAGAAAAAAGGAAGAAAGAAAGGAGAAAGGGAAGAAGGGAGGAGGGGGAGAGAGAGAGAGAGAGAAAGAGAGAGAGAGAGAGAGAGAGAGAGAGAGAGAGAGAGAGAGAAATGTTCCTTTACGAACATTTTATCTATCTTATCTATCTGTCCACCTATGATTAAATATGTAAAAAAAAGAAAAAAAAAGAGAAATATCGAGAATTGCGAGTATTTGCATATCGCGACTCTCGAGAATTTTGTGGTCCAATATCATTTTGAAAAATAATTGAAATAATTGAATAAAATTCGAATTATCGCATCGAAACAAATCTCTGCTCGACCGCACCTTTTTCACGACTTATTAGCACATCGAAAAGGAGATAGAGGAAAGGGAGAAATTTTCTCGAGATGCGCAGAAAAGAAACTGAGCTGCATGTACGTTAGCCTAGTGTATGTAGAGAAAGTTAGAGGCATGTGTATATATGTGTGTGTAGATGTAGGTCTGTGTGATTCGTCAGGACGCGGTTAAGACCTTGCACGTGCACACCGCTTCATTTTTCTTTTCTTTTCTTTTTATTTCGTTTCGTTTTTTTTCCCCGGCGAATCGGCAAAAATCCCGAAAAGTAACGAAAGAATGAGAAATAGAGAAAAGGAGAAAAAGAAAAGTTGCATTGTCCGCGTGGATGGGACGTCGAGGATATTAATTAACGATTAATCGATGAATTATTTTCGAAACGCGAGATTGCGTGGAAGATAGAGTCGAATCGAGGGAGAGACAGAGATAGGAAGAGACAAAGAGAGAGAAAGAGAGAGAGAGAGAGAGATTTGATGGAGAGAAAAAAAAATACGCGCGAAGTCGTGACCGCGCCCTAATGCTATGGGGGGTCTTACCAAGGGGCTGGCCAATATTATCCCTATCCTGCTGAGCACCGCTGGGAGCCGCTGCAACATCACAGACACCAAACAAAGAGACTTACTCACCAACGTTTCCACCAACCAAATTCTTACTAATCGTGTGTGTGTAACAACGTGTTTTGTTCTTTCCCTTATCATCGCTTTTCTCTTTTTTTCTTTCTTTCTTTCTTTCTTTCTTTATTTCTTTATATTCTTTTACTCCTATTTTCTTGTTTTCTTTTGTTTTTTCTCGGAGGACGGGGAGGACGTGGTTTGATATTTTTTTCTCGGTTTCTTTCGCATCTTTTTTTCCCTGCTTTCCTTTTTCTTTATTACATATTTACTTTCTTTATTATTTAGGAGCAACGCGATCACGATACACGAGGATACACGAGAATTTTTTGATTACGAGGGCACGTGGATTTATCTTTTCATTTTCAATTTTCTTACGGAATTATTTAAGATCGATTAAGATTGATCTGATCGCTTGTTGTCCGATCTTCTGTTTATTATTTTCTTAAAATTCTCGAGCAATTTAATCGCCTCTATTATCCACGATTTTATAGAAGAGCCTTAAATAAAAAGTAAATCGTTAGCGCGGCATTAGTACGTGTATTACGAGAATGAAAATCCGATTTCTCATTGGATCGAATCGAAATAGACGAGAAATTAGTTCATTCGTTCAAAATTTTTACTAATTATGCACCGTCGATTATCAAGTAGATATTGATGTTTAAAAAATTGAAGGGATGATTCTTTATATCGTTACAATGGATCATTGCAATCGAAAATCACAAGTGAACTTTGAACTTTTCGTGTAAAAAAGAAAAAGTGAAACTAAAAAATTTTGTCACGAAAATCCACTCGGGAGATAGGGGAAGCCACGCTCTTGAAATCGCTTTTTGTTTTATCTCGATATCTCAATCGGTTACCGAGATATAAGGATTCGAAGTTTTTATGCTGTTCGAACATAGCGCGGAAATAATGAATGAATTCGCGATCCAGTAACCTATATTTTTTCCTGGAATCGCGTATTATGTTTTTTCAGAAATCTTGTCTAGTTTGGACTAGATCGATGAGACTAGAGATGCGAACGCGAGATCTGAGTATGGGACAAGAATGGGAATCAAAAATTACCGTTTCCTTTATATGATGATATCTGGGAAACCGGAAGTCACATCGGGATGAATCAAGAAGCATTTTAAAGAGGAAGATTCTGCGCTTCTAACGATCTCTCATTCGTTGACCGGAAGTCGCTATTTTTGGAATTATAGCGGTTCAAAGTTTTCTTGATTTTAATAGCGCTTAATCGTGTTTAAGGTAAATGATTAAAAATTAACTTTTCTTTACACGATGATATCTTGGAAACCGGAAGTCGTATCAGGATGAATCAAGAAGCGTTTTAAAGAGGAAGATTCTGCGCTTCTAACGATCTCTCGTTCGTTG